AGGAAGCATACCGTCTTCAAGCATCGCAGTGGGGTGCGCGGGCGCCGAGGCCCGGCGAGCCTGCAGCGCGCGCCGTAGCTGGTGTAACTCTCGTTCGAGACGCGCATTATCGGCCACTGTTTGTTCCAGTTTCTGTCAAATACAATAAATACGCTTACAAAATTTATTAAAATAAACAGAATAGGTTAAGGACATTTTTATTTATTTATTGCTTATATGGGTGGACGAGCTCACAGCCCACCTGGTGTTAAGTGGTTACTGGAGCACATAGACATCCACAACGTAAATGCGCCACCCACCTTGAGATATAAGTTCTAAGGTCTCAAGTATAGTTACAACGGCTACCCCACTCTTCAAACCGAAACGCATTACTGCTTCACGGCAGAAATAGGCAAGGTGGTGGTACCTACCCGGGCGGACTCACAAGAGGTCCTAGCACCAGTAAAAAATTACATTCATACAGTTACAGATTCGAATGTAGTTTCACCCTTGAAACGAAACGACAAATAAACCCAGGGCTTGCTTATTTCCAAATACCTACGTGTAAAATGCACAAATTTCCAATCCTTTGTTATTATTATCTACTATATTTACTTAAAATCCTATTAATTAAACATTTTTTAAAAAAAAACTATACATGAAAATAGATTAACGCTGATGGCGTTGTCTATGACACAAGCCACCGGTGGTTAGGACTCCAGAGTGAGGAACCTCCTCACAATACGTACTGGGCCCCTAACCCAGCTATTAACGAAACTTTTCGCAATCAAACCATGTACCGTCACAACTATTGGAACAATTTGGTCGTATCAACATGCCACATGACGGTAGTCTCATGGTTCAGGTCTAAATTATTTATTACTATGCCCTTTTCTGCCTACACGATACTCTCGTCATGAGGAACGGTGAAATCAACCAACACTGCTCGACGCGCAGACCGATCTATTATCACAATATCAGCAGGCTTACTATTGGCAACAATATATCTATTTGTGATAATAGATCGGTCCCATTAGAGCGTAACATGAACATTTTCAAGAACTGGTTGAGCCTGGTATTGGTAATAAGGTATTACCATTATTGAACCGGAATAAATAATAAAGACTACTTGCACTAAAGGACCCAGGCCTGTCTTACAGGGCACTGGCTAAAGGGCCACTCATACCGTAGCAGTTTGGAGCACAAATACAAAATACAAACCTTCAATATTGACGTGCATTTCAATTTAATTTAAAAGCTTCTAATGTTTAAACTCCTAAAGTAGGAAATGCTAAAACGATCCCTTACCAAGGATTGAATTTTAAATTTTTGGTACGTAATAGCTTACATATTATGTGTGTAGTTCTCATATTTATAGTGTCACTTCGTTTATTATACGCTTTCGATTTAGTGCGCATACCCATATGATATTAGGCAAAATGTATTGTGATACTACCGTAAGTGTACCAATGATTTTATAATCTTTGAAAAACTGCGTCTCTGATATCTCAGTTTCCGAAAAACAGCATTTCAACCGTAGAAATACGATAGAAGAGTCGCCCGGTATTTTCCCCTTTGGCATTTCATATAATTTAAATTTATCAAGTAGAAAATTTCACTAAGAGTGCCTACCTTGTTAATTAATAACTGTATCTGCCTACTTAGGATTGTTTGTGCAAAATTATTGTTATAATAAACATAAATAAATAAAAACTATCTCCACTTGTTTTCTTATTAGTTAAAAGATATAACAATAATTAAAAGGATATAAAGAAATTGAGAGCTAATAATCAAATAGAATTTAAGTACAAAATAATATAAACAAAAATAAGTGCATGAATATAGACGAAAACCTTATAAACCTTAGAATTGTGCGCCAACATCGCGTGTACTCTGGCCAGTTCAGCTTCCAAGTCTTCGCCTGGAACCGCCTTCGATCGACCCGGACCGCCATTTCCTTCATAAACATTATTAACTTTGTGAGTCTGCACGTTATCACGGACACCTGAAACATTCAAATAATACTACTATAATAACTCAATTAATTCTACTGTTGGTAGGACCTATTGTGAGTCCGCACGGGTAGGTACCACCACCTGCCTATTTCTGCCGTGAAGCAGTAATGCGTTTCGGTTTGAAGGGCGGGGCAGCCGTTGTAACTATACTGAGATCTTAGAACTTATATCTCAAGGTGGGTGGCGGCATTTAGGTTGTAGATGTCTATGGGGTCCAGTAACCACTTAACACCAGGTGGGCTGTGAGCTCATTCACCCATCTAAGCAATAAAAACTTTTTTTTTTAAATTAGTTTTAGTCTTTTCACTAGCTTGCGTTATAAAGCGAGCGATTTGATTGATGTTTTCGCCAATGACAACTAATGTCATTTTCGGTTTCATCAAAGTGAACACGCTCCCCGTTTGCTTAATCAAATAAAAATCGACTCGGTCTCATTATGAGCGACTTTAACGGAAATTTTGAAATTGACATGGTATATTATGTATATGCTATTCTTGTTGGTACCAAATCCTGATGCCACTTTCTGGCATAAAGTAAGATTGAGTTTAAAGAGTAAGGCAGTCGGGTCTATGATAATTACTTAGTCTGTTTAGTTTGTTGAAAAAAGCAATGCTTTATTTTTGGTGCACTCTACAATATTGAGAGTATTAAAAAATACCAGTAAAAGCAATGTTTTCATTTAAAGCAGGGGCTCCCAAACTTATTTTGTCTACTGCCCACTTTGAGGATAAATTATTTTTTAGCGCCCCCTTTATTTCACATACTAAAAAAGCACTATAGCGAGAGCTCAGTCGGTGTATAAGAGTCCTCCTAGATGAAATTACAAATCGCTTCCCAAACCTCTACACAACCTCCCCTTTTTTCTGGGACTCTTGCCGCCCCCCTTTAGATCTATAACGCCCACAAGGGAGCGTTATCGGCCACTTTGGGAAAGAAATTTTAAAGCGACGCCTTCATACTCGTGTGGGTGTTGTTAAAATAACGTGAGCTTATAAATGAATTTCACCTGTAAAATTAAAAGTTTCAACGGCAATTCAAGAAAGATCAGATTTTATATAGTTTACTGACCTGATAGCAAATTCTCAATAGTATCTTTATTTGACTTGAATCCTTGCAGTATATCGGCTTCGTGTGCCAGTTCCTGTTCCAGCGACCACAATTCTGCTACTCTCGCTCTCGCTGCTTCTGTTTCTAGGGGCTTGCCTGCAGCCACACTCTCTAACCATCTACAGAAAGATCAGATATTGAAATGTTTCATTATATGGAATGTTTAGGTTTTTATTGTCTTTTTTTTTATATATATTATTGTAAAACATCTTTCAAGTCCTTCAATCCATTGGCAGTTTTACTAGTTATTGAATGCTTAAGTTATACTGTTTTTAACTAAATAATTTTTCAACAAGGCTTAACTTGCATCTTGTAAATAAAAATTTTCACATTAGAATAAGCTACGTTAGAAACTACCCCATAGATATTTGAAAAAATCTTGTAGGTTCAGGATGATTTGAGACCAATATATTATAATTTCTCAGTACTATTTAAATTTCAGTGTTTTGAGCGTATTTGAAGGTAACAATAATAAAATAATCTACGAATTTCAATTACCTTTGTTGTTCTAAAGCGTGTTCGGCCAAAACTTTTTGTCTCAGTCTCTGGTTCCTTTCCAGCCGTTCTATAGTAGATCCTGGCCGATTATATAATGAGCCCAGCTTCACCATATTATCCACTAGCTGGACCAAAGGTTTGCTTTTTTCATACTGATGTTCCAATTCCATCAATTGCATTTTCAGTTGTTCCAATCTTTTCAGACTCTCGTCTCGTTCTGCGGCTTTCAAAGAGCTCAAACATTCCTATTAAACAATATGATTTGAAACATTACCAGAGTTTTTCTTTCCCCTAATTGAATTCAAACAAAAGAGCATGCAATGAAATGAAATGAATGAAAATGTTAAAGGGCATCCTCCACGTTAATAATAGGTTAGTAGTGTAATTGTTTAATTTTATTGTTTAATGTAAATAAAATTATTTCCTAACATTATAAGTTAGATTAGTTTTAATTATCGTGTTGTTTTGTCGTGTAGCTGTAAGGAACATTGTGTACAAATTCAGCACTTTATCTTGTTTGGTCGTGCGCACAGGGCTTATGTTGCAAGCCAGATTTTGTCTCTTTTTACTTGTGTTTTTATGTATTGTTTTAGTTTGTGATGTGTATCGTGTGCCTAATAAATAAATAAATAAAAATAAAATGCAAAACCATAAGCAAATGAAAAACAAACATAAGCACCTCGATACTACTAATTTGTGTACAACACTGTTCTATAGCTCGATGCGTTGCTGCGTGACGTCTTCTTAACTGTATCAACAGCAACACCAGCTCTTCGTGTGTGCGACCAAGCAATTCACCAGCGGTTGGTATTTCACCAAATTGATCTATCTGACCATGTTGCTGAACACCTCTTTGCTAAGAGACAAACAATAAACAAATACATTCGCTACCCTACAAACTAAAAAGGATGAAATCTACAGAAAACAAAACAAAAAAAAAAACAAAAACAAAATGCCAGTCAAAGCCAAATAATACAAAACAAATTTTCGTATGCATACCATTTCGTTGTTCTCGTTATTCCTTCGAACCCTTGGGCTAACAGCACTAATTGGCTGTTGAGAAGCTCTAGATGGTGATCTTGTCATTGCCCATGAATCCTCAGTAGCCAATGCATATAACTATAAACATGAAAAAGCTCTTTGACTCTTTTCTTAGATCGTACAGGCTCAAACAGAAAGTTTTTGCCTGTCTGTGGTAACACAAAACTGTACTGTTCAAAGTGTAAGACTTTTGCTACTCATCATGATTTTCAATATTGTCCGTATTAGCATTAATTAACAAAAACTTACATTTTGCTGCGAAGTCGACATCTGTTGGGAGCCGTAGGTATCAGCAGGTGGTTTATCTTCCACCCATCTCACCCTTGGACTCACAGCGCGTACGGGTATATTAGTATCTCTGTTGTTTCTTCCAATTGAAGTATTACTTCCGACAAAAGCTTTCTTTGACAATGCTTGTTGATTATTTGAACTGTTATTCATGCGTTGTTCTAAGTTACTTGACATTGTCATAGAAGCTGGAAAAATAGTAAAATTAAAACAATCTTTGGTAAATTAAACATGAATTTTAACTCATTTAATAATTTAAATGCTTGTAACATGATAAAGTGTCGTAGCTTTGTTAGTATTCAAACCAAAAATTAAAGAGTGCGAAATTTATTTACAATAATTTATAGGCATGCTAAATTTGCTGTACACCTTATCTTGTTTAAGCCCCTTTCTCTTAAATATGATTTTATACTTCGTATTTACATATATAATTAAATGACCTAGCTTTGCAGAAAATTAAAATAAATTTCAAACTTACATAATGTATTTTACGCGACTGTAATGTTAGAGGATACCTTCGCGGCCTGCATTATCAGTTCCGGTATCCGAATTACGAGCTACTTCGCCTGTGTCCAAACGCGCGTCAATATTACGCACACGCCCTGCTACCCGTTTCATGAGACCACTTGACATCAAATCCCATTGCCTAAGCTTTTCCCTATCAATTTCAAACCTTTTTTTATTTTGCTCAACAGCTGTAGCACGGTTTTCTATTGCTAATTGTTCATAAACACCTTCATCCAAATCTTCTTCGGGTAGTTCTGCGTTTTCTGCTAGACTGACATACACGTCGTTGTCGTTTAATTTTTGCTGTTTTTGGTTTGTTAAAATCTTTGGACCGCCAGTAGTAGTTCGTGCATGAAAAGTATAATTAACGTATGTTACATTACGAGTAATTTTAGGTGTGTTTTTTTGTATTCTTTTCAAACTATTCGTTACATACGAATCTAAGCTGTTACGTTGAGTTGTATTTGCATCCGGTTGTACAGTATCTAAATCATCCATTGAACGAGCATGTCTATGTGATACCCTCCTCAAATTATCTCTCCATACAGAATCCTCATCCCAATGTTTTTCGCCGTGGCACAACACATTTTCGTAAGGAATATTATCAGCTTCCGCATCATAATACACTGTATTCGATGAGTTTTCACTACAATGTGACGACATGCTGGTCGATGAGAGTTTTATCAATGAACTAGGGTCAACCGCAGCGGTTGATTTATTTGCAATGCTTTCTGCATTACTTAAATTACTTTTGCAACCCAAGGTTGATATTAAACTCATCGATTCTGATATTTTTGAATGTTTTCTCGCAGTCGACTCATAGATATTTTTCACATCAATTTCCGGATCCTTGTCAGCAGCACTCAAAAATTCTACTGAAACGCTTCTTGCACTTGCGACAAGATCAAAAGACTGATCTGAGATCATAACTTGATTTTTTCTGATTGGATTATGGATGTGCGAAATTTCGGTTTTCTTAAGTAAGGGACCTCGTCGGCGCTGATTGTTCAATTTTCGATGTAGGTTGGTATTTTTCAGATAGTGAGATGTAGGCAGAATATTAACATGCTCTTGTGATGAAAGATCCGAATAGTAATAAGGTGCACTCTGTTCTGTTGAACTCTCACGGCTATGGAACCCTATTGATGAAGAGGAGGCATTACGATCGTGATTAGACCGAAGTACTGATTTTTCGTTTTCAAATTCCTTGATTTTATTTAATGTTTCATCGTGATTTAGATTTTTTGCTAAATCTTCTTCCTCGTTGTATTGTTTGCTGTAGTAAGACATTGGTGCTTTAGTGATACTCGTAGAACTGCACGGGCTTTGTGATCGTGAAGATGAAGGAATCTGCCCACCGATGTTCCTAACTGGAGTACTAGAGCATCGAGTGTGTATATTACTTTGGAGAGCTGCTTGAACCGCGTTGTCTTTTATAAAAGAAACGTCATTTGTTGGGACCGTTGCTTGAGCGTTTCCCGTGTATTTTCTATTTGTACTAGTACAAGGCTGTAAATTGTCAAGATATTTATCCAAATCTACGTTGACATTTGTCTCATTGCGAACTGGGAACTCATTTTCAACTAATTCAAAAAGTGAATCATCTGAAAGCGGCCGTCTTTTGTTCATCATTTCCACGTCGTTACATTTGTGAGGATTTCTAAAATCTATTGCTAAATCACTTTCATTTAAGCTGTTCACTTCTGAAGATGCACTTGACGGTATTACTTCAAACTTACTACTTATGTCTGATTCTAACGACAACCTAGACGATCCTTTTTCTGCATTAAAGCTTCTTAACGAATCTGTATCAATACTGCTTGATTGATAACAATAATCCGTATCTTTTAATAAAGAAGCTTGGGAGCTTGTTACCTTATTCCTCTCAGACAACAAGGTAGCTCTGTTGTGACGAACTTTCTCCCCTCTCGACAACGTGTCGTGAATAGAGGTAGGACTACCATATATCATTAAAGATGTAGTTTTTCTTTTAAGGGTACTCATTTTCTGTTTCTCGGTAGTTAACATTTTCAATATAGAATTATCATTTGACATATTAGACTGGTCGAGCTTTTCTAAAATATACTTAGATAGGGCATCGTCCGATAGTTCATCACAAGGAGGTGACGAACTCGGTAAAGGAGGATAAGTCTGCTCATTTTCAGTTACATCTTGTACGTCTAGGACGGAATTGCTCCCACTCAAGTAATAGGAAGCTGGACGAAATGTATCCGAAATACTAAATCGATTAAATGGAGTTTCGAGGGAGGTGTCCGTTAATGTTTCAATTTCTGCGTCAGAACCATCGACTTCTCCAGTCTTTTTCGCCATTTTAGAAGCTCTTTTCAATGTTTGCTCCTTTGTGTCAGCAAAATTAGAAGCCACATCCGAAGACAATTTTAAAGAGACTGGGCTATTTTCTTTTGCATCGTAATCACGTACATTAGTTAGTTCCATATATACCGGTTCCATATTTTTTTCATTATTGACACAGACAACTTCATACGTTTGCGTGTCTTCGTTTTCACTTCCGACATTCATTTCCACATATGGATTATCTTCATTATTGTGAGGATTGGAAACACGAAGTTCGCTTAGACAGGGAAATGTAGTTTGAGGTAATTCCGTCGTTGACATTTTTCGTGGACTCATCGGTAAATAATGGCTTTCTCCGAAACATACTGGCGTTATTGGTCTATGTGCATTTTCATCTTTTGTATCATTCGAAATATCGCCTTCTATTGCTATAGCTTTAGAAGTTTCACATTCTGATTCCAGTAATACTTCATCTAAGTCATTATCTGTATACTCTTCTTGAGTTTCCGATTCTGCTTCACTCTCGTGTGTTTCATAACCGTTTTCCTTCTCATCTAAACTACTTACATCGTTTTCATTGTGTTGTAAGCGATCAGTTTCTTCATAATCATTTTCTTCATCTAATTTAATGTTTGGTAGTGAAATCGTACATAATATATTTTCATATATATTCTCGGGACTGTCTCCATAAGTAGTTATATTTTGACCGTCGCCACTATAACTTTCATGATGAGTATCACAGGGCGCATGCAGTACTATTGATTGCATTGCATTTGGACTCGTTACATTCACTTTGTGAGACCTTCCTGCCTGCACTTCACTGGGTTTTTGCAGATCAGTGCCCGGTGTTCCCTCTGAGGTGCAAAATTGAAACCTACAGTTATTTTCTATGAATAACTGATTTTTATTATTGAATTGCATTCATTTTTATTCCCATCACAGTTTGTTAGTGCTGTATATTTCGACTGTTAGATAGTTAAATTCTACTGACGTTGTAAATAACAATGACGGACCCATCACCGGTAATAAATACAATGTTAGTGGCTCAGTAACCCCGCAGGCAGGAAGGTCCCTCTCCGCAAAGCTAAATCCTTTAACTACAGTACATAATAATATACATATTTAATAATAGAACGGTTAAATAAAAAAAATATGTTCTTATCTATTTGTTATTATAACGCTGATATTATTATATTAATTTGATATTATAAAAAACATTTGTGTGTTGCTACATTATTAGATGAATCAAGGTATATAATGTATATTTATTATTTATGTTTTAACATTACTATGACACATTAATATTACTATCAGCAGCATTTTTGATTGAATGTATACGTCACATGCTTCTTCTATGGAAATGAACTTTTCTATAAATAACGTAATCTCATGCAATTATAAGAACATTAAAAAACGTGTATAAACGTATTTATAGTAACTTCTATTTAAGTCTGATATTTGGACATCATCTAAGCCTTAAACTGAGCTTAGACTTGGATAAGACTATTTGCTACTGAACATGCCAGGCGTAGGGAAAAACAAATGACACACCTTCATCATCAGAAGAGTAGCTGTTGTACGAAGCGTTAGAAAATGTCTTCGGCTTATACTGATCAGATCGTAGCGACTGTCGACTTTGATTCAAAGAACGAGCCAGAGATATTGTGGCCGGTGTACTTTTTCTCGTCAACGGAGATTGTAACATTCGCTGTTTCCATTCTAATAAACGCTTCATTGATTCTTCGCGCTGCAAAAAAATAAAGTACACTTACATTCATAGTTCATATTGAATTGCGTTTTTAATTTTTTTTAAATAATATTGAATACGATAAAACTTTTTTTATATGGATTAATTCCAATCAAAATTGTTCCTTTTATTTATTTACTTGTAATAATCTAAATCTCTGTGAAAGGCAATAACTGATTATTTATTATTATTATTTTAAGCTCAAAATCGCTTAAGACTATTTTCTTTTCTTGACATGAATAGAATGGTTATGAGTACTCTTAACCTTTTTTGCCTCAAATGTATTATATCAAATCTATACCTATAATAAGTATCTGTACCTGTTGCACTTTCTTATCGCCTTCCTTTTCCGTTGCTGACGGTAGCCTGGCACTGGCAGACCTCAAAAATCCTTCGCCATTTGGATCGTACCTAGCATCCTTGACCATTGCACTCGCATTAGATCCATCGCTCATTACACTTCCACTTCTGTTCATGTAGTCTTTTTGATTTTCGGCATTCTTTTCTTTCAATGTCCAATTAGAGTTCATAGCTTCCACGTCCGACTTCGAGCTATGACTGACCTGATCACGACTAAGCCTATTCGTCGTATTCAAATCAGGGTTGTAGTTATGATTTGTGATTTGAGAATAGGCGGTGCTCAACTGCTTTTGGGCGAGGCCACTTGCGTACTTCGCCAAAGGTATCTCCATGTTACGAGCCCTCATTCCTTGTTGTAAATATTGGACCGACTGCCGCATTTTTTCGGCGTAGCTCTCCTCCGAATAATATGTCTCGGAGCTGGGGTCGTAGTAAGAATTGATGTCGAGACTAGATTTTGGTCTTTGCGGCTGCCGAGTTTGATCGTGGGCTGTCCTCGTTGGCATAGATTTATTTTTCATTTCATTCTTCGCTTCGTATTCGAGAAAATCAGCACTATGAGGCCTAGGCATCGGTGGTTGGATACCGCTCGATTGCATTTTTTTCTTCCTCAGAACTGACGGGCCACTAAAGGTTTTCTCTTGAACCTAAAAAAGTTCAATTTTTAATCGTCTAAATTTCAAGTTCGTTTTATATTTAAAATGCATTAAATTCGTCTTAAGAATCAAAGAAAGTAATTTAAATTAATTCAATGGCAAAAAGCTGAGATCAGTATCAAATTTATTACAATATCTCATGAAGAGACTAATACAGATATAATTAAAATTACTCTAAAGTTTAATATCGTGTTTGTTATTATTTGCGTATATTAGATTATTTGCGATGTTTCTCGACCACTTTATGGTTTTCGAAAACCGTAAAGTACCGTTCGAAACCCTTAAAATAGTTTTATTTATGTCTACGACTCGAGAAGACTGAAATAAATACTGTAATTTACCGAGAATTATATCCTGTATAGGAGTGAGGGGCACTAAACCTTAAAACAGATATTACGAGTAATAGTATAATTATAGGGACTTACATTGTGTTGCAACTGATGTTGGTGACTGCTGGCATTATCTTTAGTTTCATTAATGCTTGACGATTTAGTGGTCATTTTACCATAATCGTTTTCCACTCCGTAAATGCCGTATATATCCTCGTAGTCTCCCGTCTTCTCTTTGTTGTAGGACGACATGGTCGTAGATCTACCGTACGCGTCAGGAGTTCGCCTCTCCATCAATAGCCGCTCGTTGGCTGCGCTATTAGATCTACTCACCCGAGAATCTAATTCTCCATACAAATCTCTGGCGGACTCAACCGGATTCGGCGTCAAATTCACTCCTGAATGATCATCTCTATTACCCGATTGTGGTATATCACTTCCTCTCGTCTGATAATTTTGATTCGGCGCATTCATATCGATATTATACGAGCTACCCGTTTTCGGGGTTGGCTCGTGCAAGAACGGATTCTTTTGCGGTTGCCGCTCGTAAATTTGTTCGTTTTTATTGCGCTGCTCCTGAGATTGGTGCTGCATTCCTCGACTCCTATCAAAAGACCGAGAGTTAAAATCATTCGTTGACGTGCTCGGCTCGTTCTCTAATCTATCCATTGCGGTGTTTGTTAATGGCAACGAGAGATTGTGCGAATCGTATGGTCTTTTCTGGTGATGTGTGCGTTGTTGTTGCGACGGTGACTGTGGACTTTGTGTATAAATCTGGTCTTGAGTTGTGCTCGAGTAGTTGTGTTCTTGGTTTCGTATGTGACTGATGCTTTGGCTGTAATGCGACGCCGGTTTTTTGAGTAGGTCATAATTTGGATCGTACCTGTAAATTTTCGTGTTTGTCAAAAAAATGCTATCGACGTATAGTTGTTATATACAATATACAATGCAATCCACATTCACTATACTTACATATCCGGGCTTGGCGAATTGAATCCCTCGTTGGAGCGTCTAGGTTTTGGTGGTGCATTCGCATACATCGGTATATCTTCGCCGTCCTGTAAAGTAGAATTAGCTTTAATTAACTTTACCTCTGTCACAAAAGAATATCTTTTTAAAGTTCAAATAATCTTTCATCTAATAATAGTATTCTAGGCTCTTAGTATATCGAACTAATCGACGCGATATGAACTCCTTTATGTATCCAAGTAAATAGCTTTTTTTCTTTAATATTTTAATATGTAAGCTTGTGTTTTTTGTCTTTGTAGTCAGATGATCATTCGGCCCATCTGATAGTGAGTGAGTCATGGATACCAACAATTCCAAGGGCACAACAAAGTCTAACAATACTGTGTATACATACATACATACAAAATACGTCATTATATATCTATAATACTCACCTCTGCTTTGGTAGTGGACAAATCGTTTCGACTGTGTGGTGGATCGCTGAAAATAAAAATACATTTACAATGTACTACAATGAACTCTATATTTTATTTTTATTTATCGGGGGTAAGCATTGGACCTTGCGTTAGTTGATTACCGGAACTGACATCACACCACAAATGCTACATAGCTTAATACTCGACATCTAATACACAAAAATAGAGAAATTTTAAAATTTTGCGAATTTGTTTTTATTGCGCGATGCTATTCCTTCATCGCAGAAGTTGTTCGTGAACACGTGCTGAGTACGTATTTCCCTACAGCTGCGTCATTTGAAAACGGGCATTGTCGGAATGCTTGATGCAAAAAAGCTTTTTACCCTTATGCTACTACGGGTTTTAAATTTAACGAATTTGAAATTGACTGCTGTACGGATTAGATCATTGACCTGAATCGAAATGGTAGTGAAACGATGGTTATAGTTTCTATATTACGTATGACCTCATAGGCTATCTTACTTGGGAGTTTGCATGACCGCGGCCATCGTCAAAGCCTTCATCCACTTCATCATGGCTTCTTGGTCGGGTGCTGCCAGTACATACGTTCTCATATTCGCATGCTCTAATTTGAACGCAAACTTTCGGAGTACTTTGTCTTCTGCGGTACAAACGGACACTTTGTATGAAGGTAACAAAACGGACCCCAGTAACTTTTCCTCTTCTTGACCTGAAAAATAGGAGTATTAGTAATGAATGGTGCTATTGAAGTTAATAGGTCAATAGAATAGAATGCTTAATAGAATATGGTACTTACTTTTATAGTAAAATAAGCAGTATTCGGATAGCACAAACCATCTCTTGCGCCATACTTTTAGGCCATCCGATCCTTGTTTATACAAAATACCGGCTACTGTTACCGGGGCAGATGGTATTCGTTGAGCTGTTGGTGATCTCAGTGCTTGGGTTCCGCTGCTACTTCTCCGACTCTCTGAAGACGGTGACTTCACACTTGGAGAACTGGACTCGCTTGTTGACTTCATAGGGGAAACTACGTTATTTTTTTGATTTTGACCAGCTGAATTTGAGGGTTTATTGATTCCTTTGTCTCCTTCTGCTAGCCTTTTGTGAACTTCATGTTGTTCTCTGTATTCTGTTTGTTGATTGTGTTGCCACTGAGGCTCTTGGTACTGACGGTTACGATTTTCCACCTCGCGATAGTCATTGTTCTTCTCATACTTTTCTATGTCTTTTGGTGTTTCTGGACTGCTATAATCCTTATAATCATTTTTAGAACTATATCTATCTAAATCACGGTAAGAACTATCTGAATATATACTATTTTGTAAATTGGGAGGTGGCTGAACCCCATGGATTTGCTGTAAAAGAAGTTGTCGCTCAGCGAACTTTTGTTGTTGATGCATCTGTGCCTGGTTTTGATAGTGTATTTGTTGCTGCAATTTCATCTGCTGAATTTCGTTGTACTGTTTTCGTAACAACTCTGTATTGCTTTGGGGCCCTATTCTATTAGAGTATGGTAAATATGGTTTAGAGCTGTATTGGTTTGCATTCGGTCTATACGTAGGCTGATGGTTTTGGTAAATTTGGTTTGAATCTTTCGGTGGGTTGCGTTTTAAATAATCTTGATAAACTTCAACGTTGTAGCCTGCTGATATATTTTGGTTGAGTGAGCTATTTACATTATGATCTAGATATACTTCAGATCGTTCGGGTCTTGGAGGTGACTGCTGGTAATTGTTGTAATTATCATTGACTCCATATTGTCTTCCGTAATCTTGGTTTTGACTATACGCACTGCCATACTGTTCATGTCTGTTTTCTAATAGTGGCGATCGTGCGTCTAAATTTGAGTGATACTGACTTTGTAATAACTGATGCATGACGCCATTCGGTGGTATTTGATCTGTTTGTGTAGACGTGAGGTGGGCTGATAGTTGCGGATGGTGTTGAGAATACATCCCATTAGGGTGTACGTGATGTGCCATAAGATGTTGATGTGTAAAAGGTTGTTGTGTTGCCGGCGCTGCCTTTTTATTCTCCATTTGGAACTGTGTCTGTGATGATGGAGGATCGAGCCTGTAACAAAAAAGCGAACAATACGTAAAAAAGATAGGAATGAGGAAATGAAGCTTGTATGAAACTTGCTCCTTCCTTGTTAAAACAAGGCCTTACATTTATTTACTTAATAAAAATCACACAAATAAAGTAGATAAATAGTGTATTAAATAAATGTATAAAAAAGGTAAATCTTCTCGATGACTTTGATACAAATTTAATGAAATATTGTGTAGGTATGTATCGCACATTACGTGTATGGAGTTGCGTGATCAATATCATAATAAGCGGAACAATTCAATTTCATCCGTGGTTCATCGAAAAGGCAGACTGACATTGAAGTCTGATAAAGTTCGTGCTTATTTTATGGAGAATTTACAAAGAGTTCTAGTATCACGTAATGTAGTGATTTCTATATCGAGCCCAGAATTTCAATGGAATATTTTTTGTTCTATTGCAATAATCGAATGAAGTTGTTTAATTTGTTATTATCTTTTTAATTATTATTTTTCTTGCCCATTGTAAATGACAATACAAATTTGGTACTGTCTTACTGTATTCAATATAATTCTATTCTTGACGCTAAGACTTTATTGATTTTTAAAAGTTTAAAAGCATAAATAAACATATCACTGAGAAAGTCAGTTAGGTCAAATGTGGATTGCAGTTAAGAGTTAATTTGAACCTTCCACAGATAGGTATATCGTGAATACAGTCACTTATCTAGAGACACGTGGTCAAGTTATATCAACATATCTACTTAGTTTTGTTAAAAGGCATATATGCTATCGATTCGGCCATTTCCAAACACAAACTTTCCCATTTATAGAATTAGTTTATAGATGACAGTATTAAATTATAACGGTTCCGATTTCGTCAAGTCAATTCGCCACCGAACCCCATATCTTTTTGTTGATGTGTTAATTTTGTACTGCAGATAAGCTTGATTAAAAGATATTTAACTTCGTTAATTCGAACTTAATTTCAATTCTTTCAAGCGCTAACATTAGATTAGTATACGGGCAGCAAAAACTATATCTAAACACACAGCATTTCGTTGTTAAATCCCATTGGAAATACATGAACCCTTCCCACGCGTATCAAACAACCGCCATTCGAAAGGATCGTGTGAATTCCCTTTTATTTTATTTTCAATTTACGACAAAGTAAAGTTTTTGCTAACGACAACTACATCAAAGCCCTAAGTGTTTATTCCCATGACTAGCGGCCCGCTCCGGCTCCGCTCGGGTCATGAACAAAAATTTTAGGTATTTTTTTTACACCTTGGGTTACATTATTGGAGTTTTAGTAAGGACCCCTAATTTTTTTCAAAAAATATTATAGACCATGTCGCTCGGGAATAGTGTAGCTTACAAACAGTGAAAGAATTTTTCAAATCGGTTCAGTAGTTTCGGAGCCTATTCAATACAAACAAACAAACAAATCTTTCCTCTTTATAATATTATAGTATAGATAACCATTACGTATTTGTTGTTCGATTTGTGTTGCTTCGTATTACACTTCTAATTACTTGTATTTGTTTAGCTCTTTGAATATTCTGCCTATTAAGATTACATACCAAATATGTAGGTAAGCGGGCCATCACCCAGTTAAGCCCATATGTACCTATTTGTGTTTATGAAGTTGAAACTGTTCATTATTGATTATTTTTTTGATTGACTTGACATTTGAATTTTATTATAATATTATTATGTTTATTAGTGTAATTGATTATTATTGCAATTATTGGAATTGTTTTATAATGGAATATTTTGAAGTCGTCGTGGCCTAAAGGATAAGACATCCGGTGCATTCGTATCTAGCGATGTACCGGTGTTCGAATCCCGCAGGCGGGTACCAATTTTTCTAATGAAATACGTACTTAACAAATGTCCACGGTGAAGGAATAACATCGTGTAATAAAAATCAACCCGCAAAATTATAAATTGGGTAATTACTGGCGGTAGGACCTCTTGTGAGTCCGCACGGGTAGGTACCACCACCCCGCCTATTTCTACCGTGAGGCAGTAATACGTTTCGGTTTGAAGGATGGGGCAGCCGTTATAACTATACTAAGACCTTAGAACTTATATCTCAAGGTGGGTGGTGCATTAACGTTGTGGATGTCTATGGGCTCCAGTAACCACTTAATACCACGTGGGCTGTGAGCTCGTCCATCCATCTAAGCAATAAAAAAAAACATTGACCAAATTATAATAGTTTTGAACAACATTTTTCGCAACAAAATTTGTAGTTTTGAATGCACAACGGCGTTAACTTTTTCCCAAGCTTAGCACTAAAGATAATAATCTAAGCAGTTTTGTATGAATAATAATATTATCTTATGAACAGTCGGCGTCCTAAATATGAATGTGCTAATCGTATAATGTTGATAACGTCACCTAGTTTCGTTTTATTTCGTGAAATTAAAAAATAAAGAGATGACGAATTAACATTTATTATCAATTATTCGAAGTGAAACTCTGTGATTTAAATATTTTCGGTTATTTATAATGAACATTAGATTAAATCGATATAGAAAGTTTTTTTTTTAAATAAATTTAAGATAAGTTTGTGAGTTGCTCGCCTCATTTACTGGATAATTTAATAAATAAAAATACATGATAAAAATTGTTTCTGAACAAAGTTTCATTTTAATACCTCAATTCTGTAATACCGATAGCAGTACCATCTTCATAATAACCGTACGTAAATCTATATATTAATACGTGAAGCAGAAACTTTGTATCCCTTTTTACACGGACCGAGGAGTATGAAATTTCCCAAACTTATAGCTAAATATAGAGAAGGAGTGCAGAATGCTAATATTTTCTTTAAATTATACATAAAAATACATAAATCAATAAAGAAAACATTACACACACTACCATGTATATGACACAGACACACGCTCTTTTGTTTACTGGTAAAGTATGTGGTCAAAATGAGAATAATAATATTAATAATAATAATGTTTTTATGGCAAGTAACCATGACTCATATAAATTGTTAATAAGACTTACACCTATGTTAGTAGTTATATTTACATCACAATGAATTACTGTCGTAACATCCCATGGGAGATGGCACCACAGCGACCCATGTATACACAGTCCAGCCTGCTTGCGATCATGCTCAGGATACTGTTGGAGCTGGCCCTCACTCTGCTTACCAGAGATGCACACCTCTTACGCATGGTAGCGTAAAAACAATCTATGTGCGCGTCTGCAAACACTCCTGATGCGCTACAAAAGCGGGGCAGCACCACCAGCACCCTAAACGCGTTATTATATTGAACACGGAGAGCGTTGTACGATCTTTGAGTATATCCAGCCCGCAAGCTGCACGTATAAAAGTTAGTACAGTAGGCCCTAAAGAGGGTGACCTTGACTTCAAGTGAACACTGTGCAAACCTGCGAGCTATCATGTTTGCTCTAACCAACAACGCTCTCCGCTCTCGTTCAATATCTTGATCATCTTTGAGATCAGGGGTCAACACATGGCCGAGATATTTAAATTTATAAACTCTTGTCAATGGCGTTCCGTTGAGTACTACGGGAGGTATTTTATCATGCGTCCCACCCCTGGTCTCAAAGACCATTGTTTCCCGCCTTTTTACAGTTGTACACCAAACCGTGTGATTTGGCGTATCCCTCACACAAAGAAACAAGTTGCCTTAGGCCACAGATAGACGCGCTCAGCAGCACCATATCGTCTGCGTAGCTGATGTTGTTTACGCACACCCCGTCTATGAAACAACCAATCCTGGTCCTACTGAGCTCGCCGATCAGCTCGTTCATATACAGGTTGNTACACCAAACCGTGTGATTTGGCGTATCCCTCACACAAAGAAACAAGTTGCCTTAGGCCACAGATAGACGCGCTCAGCAGCACCATATCGTCTGCGTAGCTGATGTTGTTTACGCACACCCCGTCTATGAAACAACCAATCCTGGTCCTACTGAGCTCGCCGATCAGCTCGTTCATATACAGGTTGAAGAGCGTAGGCGAGCTCAACCCCCCTTGTCTCACCCCGCACTCCAACCTATACGGAAGAGACAAAGCCGCAGCCCATCGCACATTGTTGATCTGGTTCCCATACCAAAACTTGAGAATGTTGTTTATTTCCGTGCGTAGTTTAATATTTTCCAACTTTTTCCACAAGAGGTCATAGAAAATCAAATCAAACGCCTTGGACAGATCAAGAAAGCAGGCATAAACAGGTGTTCCTCGCCGCGTGTAGTATTTGACAGCATGCTTAAGACTTAAGATTGCACTCTCTGTCGACAAACCTGAACGGAATCAGAATTGGTTATCATGAAGATTTACATATTTATTTAGTTTAAAGTTAAGCATGCTGTCCAACACCTTGGATATAACAGTAGCTAGTGAGATAGGCCTATAGTTACTGCTATCTGCAAGGTCTCCAGTCTTATTAATAGATTAATATTGTTAGTCTTTAATACTATTTTTTTGTAGCGTACTCTTGGAGAAATCTGTGATTACAGAAATAAAGTCTGTAACCATAGAACCATAATGATGTTCAAACTTATAGTTTTAATCAATAATTATGTAGTCGAATTTCGACTACTGAGGGACCACTAGTAATATTAAAACTATAGTTAATTTTCAAGACAAATCAATTAGCAGGTACCGAGCGTTTAATAATTAACATAAACCTTGTTTATTCTACAGTAAAACCTTACCATCCGGACCACAAGTCTCTTCAGAATACAATACGACACCGGCTAATGACCGGAAGATAGAATATACGACGGAATGTCAATCCGACCGCATCCTATGCAACAGAGTAGCCGTTGCTAATGAGTTCATTTTTCTAAAATTGTATTTCTCATTATCGGAATGACTGTGAGAATGTTGAAATGGAACTGTTATTTCTATTTTACGAGCGCGTTTCTGAACCAATAAATTTCATTTGTTATCATTACGAGTATTATATTATAGATTTTTAAGAAAGAAATGTTTGGAATGAAATTGAAATGGTTCATACGACAAACGAC